GGGGCTCTGAGCTCTGCCTGGATCCTTCCCTTCTCCAGGGGAACATTCCCAGCTCTCCCAGCCCCTCTGGCCTCCCTCCAGGAGGTCCCAGCCCCTCATTCCCAAAGTGGCTCTCCTGTAAATCCGGCTCAGCCGAGCCCTGAGCTGCTCCTTAATCCTCTGGCTCATCACGGATGAAGTGTCCTAATCCTCGGCAGGACAGGAATAACCTGGCCATGGAAATCCCCAAATTCAATCCCAAAGAAAATCTGAGGAGTTGTCCGGTTTCTCACCCAGCTCTGTCACTGATTGGGCAGAGTTGGAATTCCAGAGTCCAGCTTCTTCCCGGGCACGTAATTAAATCTTCCTAATTAACATCAGCACCCCGAGACCTCAGCGTGACCTCACAATCCTGCAGGACTCCAACTTTTCTTGGCCACCTGCGCTCCCAGGAAAACCAACCCTGACCGCCCACAGCCATCTGCTTGGATAAGGATACAAAACTCAAAATTCTTACCAGGCAAGCATTGTTCCCAGCCTAAAAATTCCCATTTGCATGGAATGAAATGAAGCAGAGCTGAACATTTTACCCACCAAAAGTGCTTTTAAGGCCGCCCTAAATCCCTAAAAAAGGAGGAATTCCGTGAGCTGGGCCTGGCCAGGAGCAGGCTGGGGTGGGACAGGGAAATCAGGGAATGTCGCATTCCCGAGGCTCCAGGGATGTCAGGTTTGGTGGGACTGGTGGGAGTGGTCCTGGAGGTCCCTTCCAGCCCGGGAATTCCAGGATTTTGGGATCTGAGGAAGCCGTGGAGCACAGACCCCATGGAGCTGAATTCCCTCCCTTTTCCCCATGCAGCAGATCAGGAGAGAACCCAAATTTCTGAGCGCCGAGAGCCCCCGTGACAGCCAAGAAATTGTTTAAAGAAAAGAAATTGTTTAAAGAAAATAAATTGTTTAAACCCAATAAATTCTGGAAATCTCACTGGCTCCCACTCCAAACTCATCCCCACAAAGGGCTGGAATCTCCTCTCTCCATCCCTGGCTCATTCCCGCCTCTTCTCCTGCTCTCACTCTGTGGGATTTCAAAACACAGCAGGAAAAATCCCCATTTTTTCCCATGCCCATAAATGTGCAGCCATGTGGAGCTCAATTCTCCCACATTCCCAGGCAAATTTTTCCTTTGATTCACCCGCAGGGGCAAAACCTGGTGGAATTTTCTAGCATTAAAATAAATAAATAAATAAATAAATGAATAAAGGAGATACTCCAAATTCCTTTTTTCCAGGCAAATCCTGAGCCACGATTTCCTGCAAACCCCAAAATTCCATTAAATGGAGGAGGCAGGAATTCCATCCCGCCCCACGCATTCCCACATTTACAGCAGCCCGAGTTTT